GGACGCAAAGCCCCGGGGCCTGGGGTGGGGTCAGCTGCTTGCGAGGATGTAACGCTGCCGGTCGCGGGGTTGGTGTCCCCGGGCTTGTTGCTCCTCCGAGGGGGAAAAAAACCCAAACAAACAACGTTATGAGGCGGCTTGAAGACCAGCAGCTAATAAACCTCATGAGTTTTGCCAAGTTTTACTGCAGAGGCTTTTTTGGATGGGGGGGGTGTGTTCCTTGCAAAACGCCTGGAAGTTTATTCTAAAAATTTTTAAAAATGGCGCGTGAGTAAAATGTGGAAAAGAACAAGTTATGTAAAAGTACAAGATTTAAACAGTGTGATGAAAATGGAACATCTTGCATGGCTTTGCTTATATGTATTTTTTAATTTAATATAACGCAAGGATTCTTAAAACAATCTATTTGCCTAATGTAAACGAAATTAGACACAAATGTGATCCCAAATAATAGTAATAACTTTTAAAAGAACTGTTTTCAGACATTGATTATGAACATATTAGACCAATACAGCTAATAGTCTGTTCAAGTTGTAAACTATATGACTGCATGAATAAGTAGTCAGCTTAGTCCAACTCAATTGGTATGTACCATGAAGTTTATTTCGCTTTAAAATGCATGATAGCTACTGAAAAGCTACAGATATCCTTGAAGCTGAGATGATAAATCCAAGGATGTTTGTGTAATTCAGTATATTATGTAAATAAATGTTGTCATGTGAGTTAAATATTTACAAGGTGGAGGAAGTATTTTCAATTGGGACATTAAACTCCCAAGATCTTGAGTCACCTTGGGGAAAGGTTTCTGCGCAAAAGTTAGCTAATGAATATGTATTATCAGGACTATAGCTACTTTTCCATCTTTATTTCATACCCTCCCCCCCCAAGCTGTTGCTAGGAATTTAAACACAGGTCTCGTAATTGCTTTGGTGAGAAAACAAAATTTAAAGGTTTTAGCTGAGGAGGAGCATTTCACATAAGCCCCAGTCAAACACTGCTTTGCTTCCTCATGGGTTTACTGTTATTAGTGCAAGAAGTCATACTGGTTCTTTTCAGACCTGCTTTTGAGAGATGCCCTGAGGCTGATTTCAAGATGGATTTGCTGTCCATCCAGAGAACTAATTTGCAAGCATGGCCCCCAGGTGCAGCCCCAGAATACCCTTTGAAGGATACAGCACTCTGCGTGCGTGAGCATGCCGAAGGGTTAGTGTGTTAACAACAGGCTAGATGGCTTAGATGGTTTAATACGCTGCTGGACACATCTAGATCATCTTTCTGTAGCCTGATGATGAGACCGGGATGGATGGAAGGCAGGTGGATCTAGAGGAGCTCTGGACTCTTTTCAGAATAGTGTTCACTGATACGTGCGCGCGCACACACAGACACACACTACGTGTATGAGACTGCAATAGGATTACTAATACGCTGATTTAATGGAAGTGTCTTCAGGATGAGGATTTAGGGAAGAATATAAAACATTTGAAAGAGAAAATATGAGTAATGATTTACTTTTGAGTAGCAAAAATTATATGACTGAAGTGAAGTGGGGGAGGGTTAATAGTTAAGTAGGTTTTTTGCACATTTGGCAATTTTGAGGATGCTTTTTAAAAAGATACCATTTTAATAATTTAAGATTTCATACTTTCAAAGCTAATCATGCAAGTAGATAATGGTGTATGATATTTACCTCTGTTAGAACTCAGATGGGACTGTTAAGGTTTAGTAAAGATGTGCACATACCTTAAGCATGTGAACAGCACTGATGAGTTCTCTCAGTGTGATAATGGTAGGTCATTAACTTATAGGCATAATCAGTTTGAGAGGGACTTCGTTAATGCTGCGTACCACCGTGAAAAACATCGGCGTTTGGACCAGAATCTTGCTTGCTTCACATTCCTCCTAGAAACTAAGAAAAACTTTTAGTGCGAAAGCACTTGTGTACTGGAAGAGATTGCTTAAACAACAAACATGGAAGGTCTCCCTTATTAGAGACTTTAGAGAAAATGTCAGAAAAAGTTCCATCAGGAATTTTTCTGTGTTTTAGAATATGATGATTGACAAGGTTTTTTCCTGTCCACTCCATTTTCTAAGACATTGACGGAAACGGTATTCAACAGCTTGTTTTAGTCCTCAGCGAAATGAAAGTATGAATGTGTGAAAGGAGGATGTTTATGTCTTTTAAAACAATGTCTCAACTAGATTAATTCTTCATCATGGTAGCATGCTCTTTGAGCTAACTTTTTAAAAAAGGTGGTGTTCCCCCGCCCCATCTGAACAGGAATTTCAATTCAGGGCCAAATTGAGTTTGAAGAGCTTTCTCAAAATAGTAGTTCCCCAATATTTCTATGAAAGGAAATCATTTTCATTAAATGTTTCTCAAGTATTTTTAGTGTGTTGATTTCTTGAGAAAAAGTCTGTGACAGCTGGACTGCTACAGAGGAAATGAAATTATATTTCCTGGGATACTGGAAAGAAAGGCAAGTAGGCAAGTGGGAATCGGAAGTCCTTCACAGGCACAAGGGAGGCTTCAAAATATGTTAAATAAAAACCCTGGCCTCTTTAATTTTCCTGAGCTTTCAGAATTTAATTTCACATGAATTGAAGGGTTTCAATTTGTTGATGATGTTGTTTCAGCCTTTCTCAGTACTTCAGTTATACACAGTCTAAGTCCAAATGAATTAGGTACACACCATAATTCACGTAATTTTCACATTAGTGACACTGAAATATGTGACAATTTAAATATGAAATCTTAGTTCACCTGAAGTAATTGATTTCATTTCACTGGTATACTCGAAGCATTCTTTGTGAAAGAGGATGGTTCAATAAGGGTAAAGGATCTCTGGATATTCTCGTAGATGACGCTGAACAAAACTTTCCATGTGCTGCTTTCATTAAAATACCAGATACACGGGCACACATACCCATATAAACAAGCAGAAAAGGTATTTCTAAATAAATTAATAACAAGAGGCAGTTTAGGGCTGTTAAGGAACTACGTAGGTTTGTCTAAGTTTGGGTTATTAGTCGACGGCAAGTTGAACATGAGCCAACAGCGTGCCCTGGCAGCCAGGAGGGCCAGCCATGTCCTGAGGTGCATCAAGCACTGTGTTGCCGGCCGGTTGCAGGAGGTGATTGTCCCGCTCTGCTCCGCACTGGTGCGGCCTCATCTTGAGCGCTGTGTGCAGTTCTGGGCGCCACAGTACAAAAAGGATATGAAGCTACTAGAGAGTGTCCAGAGGAGAGCCACAAAGATGGTGAAGGGTTTAGAGGGGAAGCTGTACGAGGGGCGGCTGAAGTCACTTGGTCTGTTCAGCCTGGAGAAGAGGAGACTGAGGGGAGACCTCATCACGGTCTACAGCTTCCTCACAAGGGGAAGAGGAGGGGCAGGCGCTGATCTCTCCTCCCTGGTGACCAATGATAGGACCCAAGGGAATGGCAGGAGGCTATGCCGGGGGGGTTTAGGTTGGACATTAGGAAAGGGTTCTTCACCCAGAGGTTGGTGGAGCACTGGAACAGGCTCCCCCGGGAGGCAGTCACGGCACCAAGCCTGACAACATTCAAGAAGCAATTGGACAACGCCCTCAGACACATGGTGTGACTTTTGGGGTTGTCCTATGCAGGGACAGGAGTTGGACTCGATGATCCTTGTGGGTCCCTTCCAACTCAGGACATTGTATGATCCTATATTAATGGAGAACATCAAGAACATTTTTCCTCTCAACTGCTCTTTCAGCAAGCAAAGGCATTCAGAAGCAGAATGATAGAATCTAATACTTCTTTCTTATTGTGGCCTCCTGGGGCATAGAACTGTCACGTTATGCTGTGCAATACTTTTAATCCCTGGTATATTTTCAGGGAAGGATACAATCAAAGAGTTCAACTGCAAATGTTTCATTGTGATGTTTCCTTTAAAAACAGGGTTTGTGTGTTATTTTAAAGCTTTTAGCCGATAGAATATCAGACATAGAGGGAAGTTCACTTTTTACGTGGCCTCTTAGCATGTTGTCATAGAACAAGAAGTCCTAATGTAAGTTTAAGTAATTTGGATACATCTAACATCCTAATGAAGAGAGGTTTGGCATCTTTCATAACATGGCTTCAGATGGTGATTTCTTCAGTGGCAGCTCTCATGCCAGCTGTGTTTCTCACATCACCTCACATGTTGTGTGGCTGCCTTCAAAACTGGAGCTTGTGGCTGGTTGTGCCTACCTGGGTTTTAATTAGATAATTTCTCAGATCTGTTTTGGAGCATGATCAAACAAATAGTCAACTCTCACGGCTATCGAGGTGATGTGCCTCCAGAGGCACCACTTAAACTAGATCTATTCCCCAAAAGTCATATATAGAACTGCTGTAGTAAGTTCAGAGTTAACTGACGACAGCTGGTAGTCATACAGTTCTAGCTGTTTCCTTAAGCTGAGACTATGTAAGGCACACTTGTAATAATAACTTTTCACTGAACATATTTACTGTACAGTTCTGTGTGGGTGTGAATGGAAAAGGAAATAGCGTGCATTGTCATATAGGGCAGGAGAAGTACCATGCATCTT